TGCTAATCGAGCCACTGTTAATAAGTCGGACGAGAAGTGTGGAGCTACAGTGTAGATGCGTGTTCTATTTATTAATTAGTCGGTATTTTCAATTTTAGTATTAATTACTATTTTTCAAAATTGGAGCTTAAGCGAATCCTTAATAACTCGGTGGGTACAAAATAAAAATGAAACAGAATTCGCATAAACTCCCACGTACTCACGAACCACTATAACGTCAACAGTCACGGAAAAGTGTCACAAACCCATACAATACATTTCGATCGAATCCTTAATCCGAATGTCATCTCGATAAAAGTGGATCATTTGCATTGCATCGGTAAGCGAAATCGAGTCCGCGATCAGTAATCGATTCTCGTCAAGTTCATGTACTTAACATACTATCCTCGATAGTGTGGGCGAATATATTTGGCCGCAATTGTAACGGTACATCCTTATAATAGAGAGACGTTTTTGTTTGTTTCGATATTTTGACCGCCATTGTACTCGACATTGTATTGTGTTCGTGGTATATTTGTTTTGATTGATAATTTTGTGTGGTCTTCTGACAATTTGAATCTAATGTTTATGACTTCTTTTGTCGTAGTCTTGTTTAAGAATCGGACTGACCAATGGAAATAAAATACTTACGTGTAGTCGTTTCAGAGATTAGAAAACGCTCAATCAATTTGTGCACGCAATAAATTATTCAGACCTTCATTCATGCTAAATAGACCTTGGGACTTACACGTGTCTACATAGCACTTACATTCAAGTGTTAATCCTCTGGTCTCATCTCATGCAGGGCAACAGACAATAATATAGGAAACTTCATAAAAAATATTTTGCGAACACGAATGAGCTTAATTCTGCTTAAACTTTGGAGTCAGTACCTACTCTACAGATAGGTTAAACTATCTTTATATCCAGCAGTACATACTATTGATTACACCTCCAAATATATCGTTAGATGACAAGCATGATTGTGCATTTTATTACATGATACAATCTTACCGATCGCGATATAATTTACCGACTGACATTCATGACATCACTGCACAACATTATATACACGTAATACACACATTTATTATTATTTTATACACTTCTAGCACTCAAGCATCTGTTTAGTATTCCTAACAGTGTACCTAGGGTGCCTAGGTATTTGCTCGTTGCTTCCTAGTTATTAAAAGGCAATAAATCCTAGTACTTAGCTCAGATATGTCTCGGTAGCTAGGTCTATTGTCTCACTTCCTATATCATTATTATCTTACACGTAGCACGTCGATTAATTTACTATACCGGTTACAGCTTCATTAGATTTTGTTACTAAGCGCCTTTGATTACGAAGATATAGGTTCAATTATAGCTGAACATTATAGCAACTTTTAACATACGCTGAGAAATGTCTTTTTTGAAAACCTAGTTCAATAGAATAAATATTTAGTACTCCAATGGCGGTTTTTTGTGTACCAGATTGTTGTCGTTGGAATTGCAGCATATTTAAGTAAATCCTTTGTAAGTACCTACTTAAAATATGACACTATTGTTTAGGGTCATAGAATGGGAACTTATTTTATGATATTTTGGTTTTAAGTAAAGGATGGGATTATTGTCAAACTGTGAAGCTACGATAAGGAAACAATAGACTATTGAAAGTAAATTACCGATATTCCATTGTATAGGATTAGTAAGTTACACAAAATCTTTTATTATTATTATTACTATTCTGGTAAAGTTCCTCGTGGTAATTTATAAAAAAAAGGTTTATTTACCTTACTGGTAACTGAGTACTATTTGTATCTACATACTCATTAGCCAATTAAGTGCAGATGTTTATAGAGTTTGAAACCAATTGGAAAAAGCCACAATATTATTCAAGAGTTTTATTTTTAAATGAGACGTCAAATATTATCGTAATCAAATAATAAATAAGGTTATTTCTCAATAAAAATAGCCAATCATCGCTTCAAGGGCCTGTACACCTACGTAAATGCGCAAAAAGATAAAAAATGTTACAAGCCACAAGCCATAGATAAACAATATAGATGTGTTACTACATAGATTAATTCTATATTTAAATCCGACACCAATGTTCAGCCTTATCATTCATCCTTTATCTGTTTTTCTCAGCAGAAAAATAAAAAGATTTAAATTCATTTCGAAAGAAAATTCAGTGTGACACAGTCGTCAATCTTGTTGACTTTCATTCACATTAATGGGAAACCACCATGCATTTGTACAACGCGTATCTTCTTCTGTTAAGTAAGTAATAAGTTTAATTTATTGACTTAACTATCATTTCTATTTGACAAAAAAGTTCCTTCTCTTCATATAATTATTTTATCCTAAAACATAGTTTGTGTGTTTGTTCTACCTGAAATCGGGATTGGTTCGATTTTCAAATCTTTAATTTAAGCATTGCTTTTTGGATCAAAGATTTGTCTTCGATCTCAATAGCAGGGTTGTAATAAAGACATTCAAAATTCGATAATAGATTGATAATTTCGATCAAAATTATGTGAAGCAATAAATTGATTATCTAGTGCATTACGAAGTTCACTGAAAAAGCAAAAAGTAACTTTAAAAATATTCTTCCATGGCATAAATTATTGAATTTGTCAAATATTGCGAATCAATTCCGTAGTTTTCCACCATTCACCATGAGATTAATCTTGACATATCACAAGACGCAAACATTGGGTTTCGTTATGTAAATGATAAAGAAAGATATTGAATTTCAATTCAATTGATTTTACAATGTTTTGCTATTTTACATGAAATAAAAGTTACACTTACGTAACGGGTTCTTAGTTACGTAAACGGTAAATTGATAAAGATTCTCCTGAAAAAAAATGATACAGGACGGACTGTGGATATCCAGACGAAATCTTCCCTAAGTGCATGTGAGTCCTACTCCTACTGGGCGAATCAATGAAAAGCTTTTTAATGGCAAGGCACATCATTAAATCTCATTATACCTATTTAAGTAATACCAAATTAAATAATTATTTTAACGAAACCTTAATGTTATTAGTACATGCTTCAAAAGTAAACAACGGCAAATATTTGCAAGAAACGGATTTATTTAAACAGGTTTCTTACAAACTGATTTAAAGTATCAACGAACTAAATAACATTTAATTTTGTCTGACAACTGATTAAATAATAATTTTAAAGAAATCACAGTTTCGGTAGCAGGCATGAAAAAGTCACACATTCGACAGTAGAGAGAACAATAAAGGTGAGATAGAAAAACACCACAAGGTAATTAGGTAGCGAGCATTCCTGGAAATGTTAAAGACAGTGTATTGTTCTCCTAATTGTCGCAGCCGTGTTATCAGTAGAGGGTTAGGGAATGCCATCCCTATTGTTATCACTGGGTGCCGACCTTACCTTATTGGTATTTGGACTCCTGTAGATCAGTATCCTTCTTGATCCAGTAACGAGTGCATCTAGTGTTTGAAGTGTGAATTTAAAGTTTCGTGCGTGTTCGTGCTTCCCAAGTGTAATGTTATATCATTGAAGTCTGTGTCTATTGCAAAATGGTTAAAGTAAGGATTCATGGGATGTTTGTGATGAACACTTTATCTTGGGCTGGTCAGTATTTTCTATTTTTATTTATTTTCTTCTGTGTATTTCTTTCGTTACTCTATATTTGTGTCTAAGGGATGTTGTTTAGATTCCATTTTTTTGAGTGCAAACTTCTTCTTTCTATACTTAGAATTTGGATTTAGATTCGGGTCGAGTCCTTATTAGCTTCGGTTGAATGTTAATGCTAGTACTATATTAACTAAATGGAATGAGACTGATACAAGATTCTTAGTTAGATGGTTCTAACTAAGTAATTGTTTGTATCGTGAATTGACTTCATTTTAGAAATGTTTCATGGATTGTCTCCTAAATATTACGTGTGTCATTATGACAGCTCATATAGTGACGTGTGAGTGAATCCGCGGAGTAAATATAGCTCGTCTAGACGCCGCAGTGCGTTGACACAAATAGTTTTCTGTCCGTCCGTCCGTGACTAGCTAGAGGTCGTAGGAAAGTGCATCGTCTAACGTCTACCTTTGCAATTTTAACTTTCTGGCAATCTAATTACGGTGTATAGTCGTTTAAATATTAAAAATCTCCTTTAATACCTTAATATTTTTTTCTCTAATTACTAGAAGGACAGTCCTTAAGATTGAAGTAGTCTTATTAAATACATAATAATATTTCCTTACAACAGCGCCAGAAAGTCTGAATGATATTTCAAAGTTAAAGTCGATTGAGTGGTAGATTAGTAAGTTTATAGCAACGGCTAATATTGTCTATACATATGAGCCGAGCTATTTTCTATACAACGGCTAATCAGGTAGGAAGTTATTGAGATGTAATCATTATGACTTGATGAGCTGATAATTATGATTTTATTGACTGGATATTTGGTAGCGGTTCACTTAATCTTTTTAAATAAAACATTTTGTTAATTATTATTCGTCTTATGTAGCCGTATATAGTTATTTCATAAACATGTTAAAATTAATAGATAGCTGTCACTATGTAAAACATCCATAAAACTGAAAGTTTCAGTTCATTGAATGAGCGGAAATAATTGAAGTGTATCCCGTGTTTGAATCCGATCTATAAATACATGACCATAATAATCCGGGATCGTCGGCGCACGCGCAGTGTGCCGCGCCGCGACGCTGGACGTCGACGTCACGTTAGTGCTGCAATTTTTTGACGTCACGTCACTTTGGACCTGTTGTGGGTCTCCACGACATGTGCTGTGAATAATTCGCGCGTGAATCTTACTTACGGTGGCTAATGGTATAATTATTGGATTGTCAACATCTCCGAGTTAGTTTGAGTTAAGATCACTTGTAGTTAATTGAATTTGTGTTCTTTCTTTACTAAATAAGTTTATTTTAATTCTTTTCAACTCGTGCATTGGATTATATTTAAACTATTAAACTCTTTTGTCTTTTGCAATTTTAGAGTTAATAACTCATTAGAATATCACTTTCTCACAACTTTTCCAAAAATTCAGATCTTGTCAGTTTTCCGGTGATTTATCTAGCACAACCAGAAAAACCGCAACGTAACAATGACATTACATTACTAAGAAAAAGCATTTCATCGAATTTATCTGACATAAATATTATTCGAACAAACGTATTGAAAATTTCATCATTCGTACTTTGTTTTATGTCCCTATAAGAAAAATCCACTTGTCTTGATAACGAATGACTAGTTGTAGGTATCGTGTATCAGAAACATTACGCGAATCAATCATTAGGTACGTTGATATCCATTCATGAAATCATAACGCAACATGAATCATAATGTAACATCACTCCAGACTGGCAGACTTCTACGTCAGTAAGATTCACCTGTGACGTCGTACACCCACCCACTCAAGTAGTCATGTAAAAATCTATCGTTATCGTTGTTTTGGCAAACGTTATTGTGTGGTTGAGTGTACATTACTGCAGTTTAGTTTATAGTTTGGCCTCGATGCGTTAAATGAAGTGTAATTAGTATAATTGTTAGTTGCTCCGGTGAAATTGTCCAGCTCTCACAGTTCTGTCATTTGTGGTGGGATCCATGTGTGTTATGGGTGCATTATGTCGGTTCCAAGCCAAATATGTGATAGGTGAGTTTTTAGTACCTCTAAATTCGAGTGTTAAATCGTGAGTGTTAAGTTACAATTCAAATTAAGCATCTAGCATTTTCAAGTTAGTAGTAAACAATACCTATTTTGGTTTTCAGCGTTGTTAGAGCTGGATAGTACATATGTAGCTGTATTGGATAGTTTGGGTATTGCTTTACAATTACATGAATAAGTATTGACTTACAAAGTTATTAAATACATTAGCGGATCTTTACATTCAGTACGGTTAATGGTTATTGTCTTGCAGGTAGTCAATATCATGTTAAAAAACAAATTGTCGTTGATAATGTGTGGTCCTTTTAATGTGGTTCTTAACCGATTTTGTTTACATTCAAATGCTCAATCTTCAAACAAACTGTGTGGGATCGAATCGTTAAAGTAGTAATTAAATCTTTATCTAATGAGAAGCTTTGTTGTTGTCGCTTTTACCGTGTAATTTTTAAATAGCTTTATAAACGTCTCTACTTAAATATTTCTTTAATCAATACATAGTATAAAACAAAGTCGCTTTCGCTGTATGTCCGTATGTATGCTTAGATCTTTAAAACTACGCAACGGATTTTGATGCGGTTTTTTTTAATAGATAGAGTGATTCTTAAGGAAGGTTTGTATATATAATACATGCATATTGCACCCGTGCGAAGCCGGGGCGGGTCGCTAGTCAATGATAAAAAATAATTAAACGAAATTAAAAAAATAGGTATTCTAGTTAGAATTGTACCAAAAAATTCTGAACTATAAAAGATACCAGAAACAAACACTTCGCTTGCATTTAACTCTAAACAGGGCAAATTGAGAGGTTAGCAAAACAAATAACATCCTGTGAGTTCCGCGTCGGCTCTCGGCTGGTGAAATAAACCACACGCTGTATAAATGGTCTTTGTGCTGCGGCTGTAGAGAGCAGTCAATTGAAGTAAGCTATACTAATAGTGATTTTGAAAACAAATTACGATCGAGCGATTTTGGACGAAAACATTTTTAACTAACTCAAGTCAAAAACAAATTAGAATCAATTTCCCAATTGACTGGGAACTCAATATTTTTACATATAACATAACATCACGCCTTTTTATCCCCGAAGGGGTAGGCAGAGGTGCACATTTCGGTACTTAATGCCACTGTATAATGTAACACCCATTTTTCACTATTTATGTTATGAGTCCCATGTAATAGGGGGTGAGCCTATTGCCATATACCGGGCACGATTCCAGACTCCTTGCTAATACTGAGATTTTTAAAAACCCAGTAATACTTTGCCCGACTCGGGAATCGAACCCGAGACCCCTTGCCCGGCAGTCGCACTTGCGGCCACTCGGCCAACGAGTCAGTCAATATTTTTAGATCGGCAAAATATTGTTGTCCAGAGTCCAGGGAGGAGAGGCTACAGTTTTTTCAAAATAATACTTAAATTTAATGTAAATTATTTGTTTGTGTTCATTGAACTATACCAACTTTAATATCCTAAGTGAAACTGCCACGCGAAAGCTTACATCGAAACCGAGTAAATATTAGCATACACCGACCGATGCACCGACTGGCGGTGACTAAGAAACTTGTATCCGAACTTAATTCACACAAACACTTAACACATTGCTACTATTTCAGTAAGCAACTTACGTACGATAAATCCTTCAGACTGACTTGGTAATTCAAACAATTTTAGTACTGAACTCCTAAAACAACACTTGAATGTTTGTTTTGATGTTAATATTGGACCGAAATAAGAGCTGCTAAGTTAGTAGTTACCTAAATAAACTTAGCTTTGGGTACAGTTAAAGATATCTACAAAATATTTAATCTAATTCTTTGGTATTGTGACATTTATTCGTTTTTTAATGATATTACCCACTCTCCGATTAAATTGATTATTGACCCACAACAAGTCTTTTGTATGTTTTTTTTTTCAAAATCTAACTTAACTAACCTACAAGGTACATTTTAAAATTTAAGAACACCGATTGACGTAAAATGTGGTATTTCGCAGGAAAATAATAAAAATAGCAGTAGTAAGTCAAAACGTTCACACTTGAACCACAATAAATAACAAGAAGGGTTTTACATGGCGCTTACCGCTGAGTCAGAGGACAGACGGACGGACAGACTATATTTAGGTACAATGTGCGAATGTAAGCATCCTGCCCTCAACATCAGTTCACATGTCACTTATTTATTTATCTTTACCTTTTAAAAGCTTTTAACAATGGGTAAACTTTCCTAAAGATTTCTTTGATTTCTTTTCGTCATTAAATCAATCACGATTGCAAATTGCCTTTTCACGAAAAGATTATGTAAAACATATTTTTTTTAAGTTAACTTAGATGTATCATGTACTTATTTACGGTACTGAAATTATTATTTTAACCTTCCTTGTTGAAAAAAATATTATGTTTTCTGCTAACAACATACATCTTTATACAAATCGTGCGGAAACAATACATCCATGGCTTCCTCGTTTATTTAGCTTTAGATTGTCTATGCTTCGCCACGGTGCTACCAGTAACTCCACAATGATATAATAGGAACACATTATGTGCGTGCAAATAAGTTGTACTTATGACCTCGCGTTTTTTAAACTAAGTAGTCATTTTGTAATACAATTTGTCTTAAAAAAATCGTGCAAGGCCTTGGCAAAGGCACTCATGCTTTGTTTTAGAGACAAAAAAGGCGTCGTCTCATTCTTCTATGAAATAATTAAGCCACTTTGACAGACGTGCCGTATATTAATGAGACGTAAAACCTCTTAGATTTAACACTGATATCAAGTTAATAAGCTCACGACCATGACCATAAGTCTAAATGTAAAAAAAATTAACATCGCGGAAGATTTTGATACGAACAAAAACGTATAAGGCAATCGCAAATTGTGCCTGACTAAGCAAAATAAGCAATAAGTGTGTCTTCATGAGATTTGGAGTCATTTGTTCTGAACAAAAATAGTTTGAAAATTAGTTTTTTTAATGTAACTTGAGTGATTCGGCAGACGTGGGTTCAATTTGGTCGACAAAATTATGGGAACCTCATTATTATAATGAGCCGTAACATATAAAATGTACATGAACATCTGTTTTTGGTATTTACTAATTATTTCTATGTCTTTGTCCTTACAGAAGGCGAGTTGGAGACAGAGTGGCTCCAAGCGGCTGGTCTTGGATCACTAGCAGCGCCGTTCCAGGCCGGTCTGGAGGTCACCGAGGCCCAGCTGGGTGAAGCGGTCCGACCTCTGCCCAGAGAACAGGCCGCTGCAGTCCGCAGACGCGTCAGGCGACTTAACAGAACTGTGAGGAGGAAGCGAGCTGCTTCCCGAGCCAGGAAACCTGACATCCGAGACGTATTTAGAGACTTAGAGGTGAGTTCTGGTTCTAATCATTCAGTTCGAATATTTTACTGTGAACCTTATCTGTGAGTGGATTGCGGATTGTTTCTTTTAGGACAGTGGTTTTTTATAGACTTGAAGTTTTTTTAAACTAGGTACTAATTAGATTTAAAACAAATTCTTCGTCATACTATTATTATTAGGTAATAATAATATCATTGATAATGATTTATTATTGTTAATTACCTAATTGTAGTGTTCTCAATGGCTTAGTGCACTTGTTGGTAGTTCATTCTTAATTCAACAGATGGCTGTACTTGTATCGTTAAGAAGATTAAGTCTGACAGATAGATGTTAGTGTGAAACTGTGAACTGGTAAAATACTTCCATTATCAGTTTGTAGCTGGACTTGATCCTATTTAATTATGGTCTAATTTTTTAAAATATACTAGAGGCATGAACTCCGTTGTTCACGGTTACTTCATTCTTATGATGATTCACCTGTTTATTGTTTTATCGAAAAAACTGAAGAAGTTCTTTGAATATCAATGATTCATTTAGTACAAGTAACGAATAGATTAGTTAGTACCTATGCGAAAGTGACGTTAAATACTCATGAGTGTTTGTTACTAGTGTTTACAGCATTTTCCCGTGAAAGTAACGATCTAAATTAGACTAATTTATACTTCAAACTATTCGTAAGATACGTATTGAATTAATTGGCAATTTAGTTTTCTTTACGATAAAATAAAACTCTACCTATAATAAAGTTGTGGAATTTATATAGAGCGTACCATACTAAAGCAGTAAGTATAACTATTTCCAATACCATTAAACCCATCATTACAATCTTCTCAATCGACATTACTATCAGCAATCCCATATCATGGACATGAACATCAGCTGCCATCGCCATTTCTAATGACCATTCCACCCTACTAAACTCAATGGTAATACCTCTAGAAATTCGATCAAATATAAGAAAACTATCTTTAAATAATGTCGCTATAATTCTTCTAGTACTTTCTAAGCGTATATCCAGCCGATCATTTGCGGTAGGCCGCGAACGATTGGCTGGCATTGCATTTAGTTTCACGTGCAGTGGGTTAATTGGTTGAGTATAAGTAGTTCTTGTCATTTGTCTAGTTTTCTGGTTGTCATCGTACTTTGTCGTTTAAGTAATCGGTCAGTGGGCTATCCGCTAACGCCTTTGCCTCTTTATTTATCAATTTAATCACATATTAGACAGCTATTTAGGGTCAACTAAATGTGTCTTCTTAGGCACTCCGTTCCAGTTAACCTATGATCAATTGAACACTTTTAGAATATTTCTTACTGATTTGTCTGATCTGAGGTTTTGAAGCATTCTCACGTGGAATTTCTATTGTCATTATTTTTATCAACTAATGATATCTCTTCAGCTCGAGTCAATCAAGTTAACTCTCTCAATTAATAACCGGATCCTTGCAAATTACAATGCCTTAGGCCTCGTAAAATTAATCCAGTTGTAGAGTTAATTATAGAAGCTATAAAACAAATGATTGCACCACTGATCCAGAGAAATTTAATAGCAACGCAATTATCAATCTCACTCGACATCCCAAAAATGTTTCGTGAAACTTCGCACGCAAAAAAGTAAATTTCGGAGATGATATTCGCTCCATCTCGCATCGAATCACGCGCACTTAATCATGCAATAGTTAATAAGAAACCATTGCTTCAGTGACGTGCTCATTGAAATATGTTTCAAACTACTTTGTGAACTGCATATTAGGAACGAGTGATAATGGCTCGTTAGATAAGCGTGTAATTAACGTTTTTGGGAATACTTAGTTACTTAGTTAGGTACCTGTAGACGGAATACGTAGTTCGAGCGATGGCGCTGTTTATGTATGTTCGTGTTTGTGAACCATTTGCGTGGAAAGATAATCTGTTTCATTTCAAGCGTTATTTTTAAAAGTGTTTGTTTGTTAAATGAAGTGTTAGTGATTAGTGTGTGGTTGGATGCAGTGCCTTGGCAGCGACCAGTTAAGTGAACTCTAAAACATAATAATTGTCCTTCTCAGACAATGGTGACGTGTATCTTCCTTTATATTATCGTAAAAGTGTGTGTATTTTGTAGTTGAATGAATTAGCAATGGTAAGTTAGCATAACTCGCGGCAATAATTTTGGTTATTATTATAATATCCCGCCAAACAATCTCCTCCGATAGACAGTGAAAGCATAGCGTAAGAACGTGCGAAAATCAAAACAACACAAGTTGGTAAACAGCGACAAGTAGTCGACAGTAGACAGTAAGTATAAAAAATTGCGTTAAACTAATTATCTAGTAATACGGTAGGTAATGTTAATTACACAAGCGATAGCAGTGTTCAGTACGGAGGTAGACGGACGCGTTGCGTTGCGTCCGCTGGTTTCCAAACTGCAGCCACTGCAGAGCGTGCCATTGTGGCGGCAGTGCAGTGCGCAGAGTGCAGCACTTGTGCCGTGAACATGATCTGTGACACCATGAGAGTGAAGGTGTGCGAGAAAGTGGTCAACTGTAAGGGCCTGGCGCTCGTGCGCTCCTATATCGAGGCGCTGGTAAATATGTGCTTATTAATCTGACCAGTGTGGGTAACCCACAATGTGACGTCATTTCAGAAAGGCGAAAAGAGGTGATATTGATGACTCCATTATTGTCAGTTCTTATCTGCTAATATAGATGACTATTGAACCGTTTTGATATCATCATTACAGATCTTATTATTGACTAGAATTAACGATGTCTTATCTCCATTGTTTACTACCTCTACATCTGTTTCTTTAACTTGTTTTTGTGTATTCAAAGTGGACTTGCACCCGTTTATATTTGTAACTTTATCGATTGTTTGTTGGTCTTCAGAGATAGGTGTACGTGAGAGATAAATATTGAGATCTGGTCATACAACAGCTAACGTGAGATACTAGTATCATGTGATTGTGGATTAAAATTCCCAAAGATATCAATGTTTGTAGGTAGCTTATCGATGAGATTATCTGGAAGATTTTCTGTTTATTCAAATCCTCAGTTCCTTTGCTATTTAATGTTTCGAAATCTGTACACATATGATGTTCTCTCTTATTGGTTTTTTGTTTATAAATTGAGCGCAAACATCTTTTGTTCCACTTCTTTGTTAAATTCCAAACTTTACAAATGCAATTGATTGGCTACGTAACTTAAATTCTATAAAAACTCCTTAAACTTAACTGTCACTATTGCTATTGTGGTTTTGACTAGCTTTGTAATAGTATTTAATTTCTTGCATTTCTATACCTTATTCTATTTTCTACGAGTAAATATCTATCTTTATCAACATACATCGGTTGACTAATGGAGGACTGTTTTGAAATCAAGTGAAGTGTCTAATAAACATTTTAGATTTAGGCTAACCGATTTTTGTAATCTATCTATGCCAAATCTATTTGATTTATATGTCGTAACTACTTTCAAGTTTCCATTTAAACTATCTTTTATCAGAGCTTTGTTATTTCTATTTTGTAGAAGTTGAATAATTGAAATACAATCAAGATAATTTCGTGATTAATTGAATTATTTATCGACCTCGGTGACTTTGATATCGTGATACTGATAAATTGATTTGATCCACTTTTACGCGTTGTTTACCAACAATGGATTGAAGTAGAGCAAGTAAATACGATTGTAGACTGGACGTAACGAGTTGATAGTAGTGGGATACTTTCAGGAAAATATTCTACGAGTAATATCACTTCTAACTTCGAGGAAAAATTATCCAAACAAATATTGTACCAATCTTCTAGAAAAAATGTGCTGCATGTGTGTCAATTCAACCAGAGAAAAAGCAATAATTTACGCTTATGCCTATAATAAACTACGCAATTGAAATTACACAGAAGAATCATTAGCCACTAGATTCGGTTCGTCCATCGAGCATCGAGCACGAGCGTGCAGGAAACACGAACTCGTTTGTTGTTTTCTAGTGTTTTAACAATTAACTTCCAAGGCAGCTCTAATAGCCAGCACCATCATGATCTTATATATTTTTTACACTTTACAATTACCTATGTAGCTTCAGATTTACCAATTACCGTAACAATTCATTAAACTCTGCCTACACGAAGAAAACTCAACCCATTCATGACCATCATTTAGGTATGTACTATTAATCTCTGTGAACCTATCTATAATTAATAGATTTATTGTTTATTCCTAGACAACTGAAAATACTACAAGAGTTCCTGCGCCGGTTGCGGAAGACAGCGGGGAGTCTTCATCGCCCACTTTTGTTACTTCTTGTGAAGTTTCATCTAGTCCAGTGGACTAAACACTACGTCGGGGCACCACTTCGGTGTCCCGTCTCACAACGTGTGTACGAGGGTACGGGAACTGCAGGCTCCCGCAGCCTTGCACACATGTCCGCCTTGTAGGCCACGCCTCAAGGTGGAGGAGGAGCGAGGTGTTGATTTCCTCCTTATACTGCTGTGGAGGAATAAGCTGACACAGTGATAGCACTTCCCAGACCATAATTGGGTGTTCGGGAAGTGGGTGCGACACAGATGCAACATCTATGTCGTGAGGGAGCTGTGTGGGGGCGTTGTCGCTTGTCCCTCCATAATAACATCAAGACCCGACAAAGCTCCGACCGGCACGATTCTGTATGCACCTGCAGTTGTACTATTGTAGCCTGAATGCAATTGAATTATACTTAATAATAAGTAACAGTAGATAATACATATAATCTACTTTCGTCTCCCAGTATTGTGTCGAATACTTACTTGTATTGTAATAAATAGGTATCTTTATTAAACGTTTTCTTTTCTTTGCATCCTTCTTCTTCGTCTTCCTTTACTATGCTCCTTAACTCACTCGTACATTATATTCTTTATTATACACATTATACATCTTAGTATATTAAAATTGTATCAGTGGCATCTTTCGTTAATGTAGTTGGGTATTTCATATTTTGAAGTACAGAATAACTGCGTCTTGAATAATAATATAGTTTGTTGGTCGACTGGCACCAGTGCTCTC